GTCTTAAGTCTAAAAGCCTGACTTTTACTCCTCCTATTAGCAATCTCTGCCTCATTTGACCTCAAAGCTCTTCTCTAGAAGGCATCTGGCTTGTAAATGTGGGCAACTGCAAATTACAGTCAAAGTTGGAAGCATTGACTTTAGAGCATGGGATTCTTTCTTGGTGAGCAGCCTCTTAGTCCATGGCAATCTGCTCTTTAAGTCTGATGTCATTAGCCATGCCTGGGCCCAAACTCTGCTGCAGGTCCCTAAGTCAAACTATCACTGCGGCATCATTCAGAGTTGAAAAACTGTCTAAATTCTTTCATCTGTAATAAAATGATCAGTGTGGCTGCTGGACCAGTTTAACATGCAGGCATCCATGAAAACAGAATTTATGAAATTTAACGGAGTTAGAAGTTAGCCGGGAGTTAGCTCGTTAGTTTCCAGCTAAATAAAATATACCAGGTTCAGACTGAGAGAGTTCTGAAACAAATTAAGACCTACAGCTCTGCTATCATTTCCGACATAAATGAAGACAGGAAAGTAAACAGCAGTGATGTTTTGTGGGGTTACTCAGGTTTGGCTCGCTGGTACATAATGATGTGCTACGTGATCGCTAGCAACACAGTTATGTTAGCATAATATAAACACAGTGAAGCTGGAGGATGAGTGCTAACTTTTTTTCCACTCAATAAAAGTTAATGTGAGGATTCCCAATGGTTAGGGAAAAAATGCAATCACATGGCAGGATGCTGTAAATAGACCAAACTTCAGTCAGGAGAACAACTGCAATACGAGGTTAGTCATTACTATACTGCTGCATCGGCTGGGCTGTAGTTACATCGTAAGGTTTTAAAAACTGAGCTTTAAAATGAATAGTGGTAATAAAAGCCGAGAGAGGCCGACAGTGGTCACTGACTGTTTTTAGGGGCTTGTTGAGAATAAACAGAACAAGATACAAAGCATTAAAACACATTAAAAACACAGCAGAGTGGTTTGGGCCTGGAAGCAGGGTTCATCACGTCATCACTTAAAGACCGGATATAAAACTCTGCAGTGGACAGTGACGATGGTGATACAGTAGTTTCCAGTTCATGACAGGCTTGAGCCCTGGTGGTTCCTGTTTTGTTTATGAACATCTTCCAAACTTTGGCGAAGTGGTGACACATCTGAACACTATTTGTGTACAATTGTTAGAGCTGACAATCTTGGCATTTTGATCAGCTACGTGCTCGAAAGAGAAACTACCAGTTGTTGCCAATCGTGATCACTACTGAGGACTTAACAATGGGGCTTTCAAGAAAAAAAAAAGACCTAGAACATTTAGCACTATTAAAATTAGTGAGTGTATGTATACAGTTAAACCTGTATGTATACCTTGGATTTAAACATTAGACTAAAGAAAAGCACAGCTATTTTCCCCCTTTGTCCCGTTTTCTTTGTTAGTTCATTAAAGATTTATACTGTACAATCATTCCACCCTGAAATTAAAAAAACAGTTCAAAGAAATCATTCCAATTAAAAATTACCATAACATTCATGCCTGTAATGAGACTATGCAAACTTCTGATCACAGCTGTACATGACGCATTGAGAGTATATATAGTGCAGCTAATGTGTGAAAGATCTGCTTAAATGTGACATTATTTAATTCAGATTCCAGGTTTGACTCAGCTGCAAAGACACACAAGTATAATATTTTAAAACAATTTTAACCCACTTATAAAACCATCAGAACACCTGTACCACTTCTAAGAGGTCGTATTATCTTCTTAAAACTTCTCACCAGAAAATCGAGTGAAGCCAGTATGAAGTCAAATTTTACAGTAATGTGAGCAGGTTAAGCTAGTCATGGCTTCGTTTTGTTTTTTGTCTCACACTTCTTACACCTTTAAGCTTTTAATTTTGCAGCAGCAGAACTTTAAAGTGTCTGATGCAATCATCTGTCATATTAAGGCAATGCTAGCCGCCTGCTCTCCGAGTTAGCATACCGCAGTAAGATCATTTTGCGCTCTGAGATCTGAGGCACAGCTTAACACTTTATTCATATTCTTACCCCTGCAATTCTTCTTTCGTCATGTCGACTTATTCGCTTGTAAAAACTTGGGAGAAAATGTTTCACGACTGTGTGACAGTGAGGAGCACGACATCAGCTGTTCGCAGCATGCACGGGCACGGGAACAAGGGACCTGTTTTGACGGCGCACAGAATACCGGATGTTCGAGATCCCGGCTAGAAACTAAATTGCACTACGCAGTTCCGACTGGCTGAGGTTTATCCGGCAGGTTGACAGAGCAGACAAAACAGCCCTATTGCAAACAAATGAAGGAAATTTATAGAAATCAAGAGTAATCTGTTGAAAAGGTGCAAAACAATCAAGGAAGCACGTTCAAGCCCTTTGTTTTTCTCCTGTTTTTTTTAATCAATGTTCAGACTGAGACGATAGAAGAGTATTCTCTAAAAACAGGTTGAGATAACAGATGTAAGTCCTAGATCCAAAACGACATCATGTCTAAGCCCAAAGTCTCTTATAATATTATACAATAGAAATTAAAGAAAATGTATGTTCCCCAATATAAAACTTAATATTGGCAGCTGATTTAAAATACCAAGTTCAAAGAATTTTCCAGTAAGCAGTTACAATGCACATACTTTTCTTTGTTATCATGAATTAAAGTGGGACTCTGCAGATTAAACAGAACATATTAATGTTTTTTTTTTTTGTTTTTTTTTAAAGAGTTACTATTATTAATAACAGAAATTATTTTTGGTGGCAAAAAACTGACTATTTGCAGTCTGTGGTCTTAAGTGACTTCCACTGATGGCACTTTATTTCCAGAATAAAGTGCTCATCACTCTTATTTCACTGATGGGTTACAAAACAATTACATTTAAGAAAGTAACATCTGAACTAATGAACTCAGCCCACCAATGGCAACATACACACAAGGAAAACAACAAAAGTGACCACATGTGTGGGCTGTTTTACACATCCACATGAACACTAAAAGTGACACTCCATGAAATTACTTTCACGCCTTTGGTTGAGTGCACTAAGTGCATCCAGGTATCCAGTGACCTTTGGAGGAATGACGTGCACAGCGAGTGATGGTGGTTTGAATACAGTGGGGGTGTCATCAAAGCTTTTCTCAGGCTCTTACCCACAGGAGCTCCTGATAGAGGAAGCAGCCTTCCTGCTGCTCACTTTTCAACCAAAACAACATAACCTTTAGTGGAGCATGTAACCGCCCTGTGGCATTTGTGTTTCTTTCCTGCTTAGCTCGCATTAGTCCTTTAAAATCATCTCTGCGCTTACCGGACATGTCACTCATAATTTTAATATACATCTCTCGACAGGAACAGTTAAATGAGCCCCTGCGCACACTGAACAATAGGCTGAAGTCCCAGTCTGAAACTTTGCACCAGAATCCATAGAGATAATGAATGACCAATTGAAACAATTTCCTCCCTACTTCAACAGCTTTGGCCTTTAACCCAGAAAGCCAAACAAGAAACACTTCTCTGCACGGGTTTGTTTTGCCTGCTACATCACATGTCAGAAAGTTTGCATTTTTGCAAGAGAGGATATTGATGTTTTGCAACAAAAAACACAACACTGACAGTGCAGTAGGGCAGCAGTGTAGACTTGAGTTGTTCAACGGTATATTTTGACCAAACAGAGAGAATAATGGCTTTAATAATGGATGAAAGGGCACCTTCTTGCAGCCAAGAATGGATTCCCTCGGGGGGCTGACCACTTAAAATTTATGCACTTAAATGGGCACTTTAGTCAGTCTCAAGGAAAACGGCATCTGCGTATCCAATTTATTATACCGATGCTCTGTGTTTCTGAAAAGGAAATTATCAAAACATATAATCAGCCAAGTCCATTAACAGATGATACAGATATTTCTGTGTTCAATACCTGATATCAATTCACTCGAGTAGTGCATAACCCTGATATGTGTAATCTAAGTGCAATCTTGCACACGATAGTTGTGATGATCACCATCCAGCAAAAAGGAATGCAGATCAAGAACAGTTATGTGAGTTATGTGAGTACAGTAAAGGGTATTTTCCTGCACTTTGTGATGAAAGCAAACTGTTATGCTAATTTTGGATCGTTTGGGTCCATTTCCAAATCCAAAAAGCGCCTCATGTTTAATTCTGCTTTACTGTGAGAGGAAAATACCCACTAACTTTGTGGGTGGATGGAAGCACTTCTCACCTTTTCTATATGTAAAGACATGGAAATGTATCTCAGTTGAAGCTTTGAATGAATGAATGACTGCACTGCATGGCACAGCAGCTTGATGCAAGGACTTCTCACCTCTTTTACATGTAGACATGGAAATCCACTGAATAAATGCCAGGGCTCCATTGTACTGCAGCCATTTGATGGCTTTATTCTACTTGAAAGCTATTGTTGTCCTTCCTAGCCCGAGCATCTGTCTGTCTTTGTTCTTTGCACATTAAATGTTTAAAGTGATGAAAGAAGATAAAAGATTCAGAACAGAAAGACTGGTGTGTCTGTTCAAAGAAATATATTTTATGTTATCACTGTATAATATCAGATTTAATCCTTCTTATTTTGCTTCAGTTCTGAATGATTGTTTCCATTCTGTGAGTCAAAGAATGACCAAGTTGAGTCATTGAACTTCTGAATGACAGAGAATGATAAAAGTCAATAAGTCAAAGGGGACCTTAATCTTTCTTAAGACCCATATGGTCACTAATTAAAACTGAAGACTTTAGCTTTTGTGTCACAGCTGCTTAAGATGTAAAAGTGCACAGATGTTCTTGCAATTACAGGGCCTGTCTGTTCATTCCTCCTGCTTTTCAGCCAGTTCAGGTGGTGACATTTGTGTGACACTCCCCCAATCCCCTTGATAATACACATGCACACACGGGAGTAGAAGCCAGTGAAAAGGCGCACCACAAAATATGTTTGAGTTTCTTTTATTTTCAATACAAACACATAAAAAACAGTACAAAAAACCATTTTGAAGGACTTTTACAAAAGTTATTTTACAAAACTCCAGTGTGGATGACAGCAATAAATTATAGCTTTCAGATAATCGCACAGCTTAGGTGCAAACATAGATATGCTACAAACCATGTACATGTTTCAAAAAGCAGCTACCAGTCCTAAAAACCCCCAGAAAGGACATTGTGTGTCCGAGCTTTGATACAGCATCAAAGACTATAGGATAAAAACTAGGACAATGGGTATTGATTGTAAAACTGAATGAATGGAAATGAGGCACTGCCTGAGGACACGATCTGCTTTGAGGAACAGAAAATAAAATACAGAAAATAAGAACCACAAAAGCCACACGACTGAAGTACAATGGCACACACACACACAAAAAAAATTTTCACGTATAAAAACTCTTTCATTTACAATTGTACAGATTGTAGTTCTTTGAAATTACAGCTTAGCTTTTTCACTCCTGAGAGTATCAAGTCACAGACTCCGAGGCTGACAGTTAACTTGACAAAACACTCGAGGACTCCGACTCGGTTGACACAGATGAAATTGGCCCTCGCTTTTTTGTCATGAGAGTCACTTTCTGACTTGATCTGCTGCTCACTGTCAGTGCACTCTTAGCTGATTTCTTAAACTTAACTCCCAAGAAAGCATAGAGGATGGGGTTTAGGCAGCAGTGAAAATAGGCTAGCGCCTCAGTGACAGAAATCCACTTGCCCAGCGCTTGCTGCAGTTCACATGAGGGGGAGAGCACATTCAGCATCACGAGGTTGTCCAAAAAGATGCCAACACAGTAGGGGAGCCAGCAACAAAAAAAGCAAAAGATAAGAATGATTGTGGTCTTCAATGCCTTTTTCTTCAGTGTCTGGCCCTTTGCGCCTTGTGCCAGCTTTGTTATGATAATGCAGTAGCAGATGAGGATAACCAAGCCTGGCAGAATGAAGCCCACCAGGATGTGCTGGAAGCGGAAAACAACTATCCATATGACGTCACTTTCCACTGGATACATGCGCTGGCAGATAGTCCTGGAGTCTGCCGTTTCCTTGCTTTCTTCTTTCAAGTTGATATTTGAAGAGCTCACGCTCTGCACTCTTGCAAAGACCATGTCAGGTATGGTCAGAATGGCTGCCGGCAGCCACACACCCACGTAGATCACTCTATTTGCAAGAAGCTTCCTCGTGGCTTGGCTGTTGGTAGCCCGTACAACTGCCAAGTATCTGTCCAGACTGATGAAGGCCAGAATCAGCACACTACTGTACAGGTTGATGGTGTAGATCATGTGCACAGACACACAGAGGAAACCTCCAAAGTACCAGTTTTTGGCTACATCCACAGCCCAAAAGGGCAGAGTGAGGACAAACAGGAGGTCAGCGACAGACAAATGGAGCCGGTACTTGTCTGTCATTGTTTTGACCTTTTTCTGGTAACCCATGACTAGTACAACTAATCCATTACCAACTATCCCAAGAATGGATATTATTCCGTACACTGTAGGTAGGAAGATTTTGTTGAAGTCATTGCTGAATGTCTGGCCACAGATCTCCGGTATATTTAGGTCTGTAAAATCAAATCCAGACCCTTCTGATATGTTGTCAGAAGTGTTGCTGGTAAAACTATAATCATAGTTGAACTGGAAAAGAGAAAAAAAGATTCAAAAGTTAGAAAACAGAAGAGATCTAAGAGGATCATTTAATTACTTAAGAGCGGCAGATTACCTAAAAATGTATTATACATCTCCTATAAATACATTATAATATTTTATGATAACTTTTGTCTTAAGTTGGAAGTAACAATGAGAAAGTCCTCTTCTTCAAATTACTTTCTATCTTCAAATTACTTTGTATGGAAGGAGACACTAAGTTTAAGACCAGTGAATTACTCGAATGCAAACACGTGGAAAATATAAACTTTATTCACGCAAAAAAAGAAAGAAAGAAAAAAGTCACACATACAACAAGAAAAACCATCCCACACACAGGTTGGGGGAACAACAGAAAAACACTCACCTCCCCGCTTTCATCCATGGTGATAACAATCCAACTTTGGGACTAGTGAGTAAAGGTTGGCATGGGACGCACGACGATAGTTGTTTGTTTCAGCGCCTGCCAATAAATACTATTCCGTGCCATTAACTCCTCCCCCGAAAGGGAGGGAGGGGCAGCAGCAGGATGCACGCAAAGTCTCCAAAAAGGTTCGCTATAAATCAAACTTCTGTACTTGTGGTAAGGGCGTTTGTGAAAGTATGTGTTTGAAAAACGTTTGGTTTTACCTGCTACATTAAAAAAAAAGAAGCGAGGAGCTGAAGTACGCGTCTGGAAACGGTGTATAAAACCAATTTGGCAACTGTGAAAAATGTGTAATTAACGAAATCTCGGATTAGGTTCAAGAATAAACATTTTTCTTGATGTTTTGTCTCCTTTTCATTAAATCTCGATAGATTTGTGTTTTTTAAATGTAAAAAGTTAAGAGCGCTGCAGTGAAATGTGCTCACTCAATGACGTTTTGGAGAACATATAAATACCATCACACGCGATTACAGACACTAAAAGAGGAAAAAGAGTCCCTACAAAAGTCCCAACAGTTGAGTTATATGGAAATTAGGGCAATTTTAGGATTACACGGGTTTTTTCACGTTACACGTAATCTGGCTCACATTTAGCGCTTCACTCCTCAGGCTGCGTAAAGTGAGGTCTGACATTTAAGCTGGTCATTAAGCCCCCACACCCTCGCTGTCTTATATTTCTCCTAACAAATCACTTAATAACCGTTTCCGATGACAGATTTCATCAGCAGAGGACTGAGTTTCTCCTCACCTTTATAACCTGTCACTTTTCAAGCGCTGTTATGTCTGTGCTCTTAAGTGCTAAATGACCCCCAGCGGATCTAAAAAAGAACCACACACCCTATAACTTTTTTTTTTTCCAAACGGCTTTCAAGCCTCAGTGTGCAAAGCATTCATTCTCCCACGGCTCCACCAAACCACTCTGATTTCAGTTGGGTAATGACAACGCGACCGGGCCACACAAAACTCCCCGCCCTCCTCTGAGACGGAACTGACGGTAGTTTGAAACTGAATATGCTCCATGTGGCACGCAAATACCACTTCTTGTCTTTGATATATGAGAGCAGTGATAGATTTTGTGAGTCCCATCTTCATCACTGATCTCCTCCTTATGATAAGGGCTGATCTTGGCTTTCTAGACGCATTCGTTTTGAATTATGGGAGACACGTGTTTCCCCCCCTTGTCTATATCAACTCTGAGCACATTTATAAAGCGGTATATCAAAAGTAGGCATCATTAAAGTTTAAAAGCTGAAAGCACTCTGTTAGAGACACATACCGTTTAAAAACATTAACAGCCTTGAAAAAGTCTCCACAGTTCACAATTTAATTAAATAAAATCGGCAGTGAGATCTAACAAAGGTTTAAGAGAACATCCTGGTGCTCAAAATCAGGAAGGTTTTTTGGAAAATACCATAGTCATGCCTTACTCGTGAAATTCCTGCTAATATAAGAAGATGGACCGAAACTGCCATTTATTTGTTTTGTGGCTGTGGCATTATGTTTCTACTACAATAAAATGCCCAATGTAAAAAACGAATATAGGTGACCTAAGGAGAGTCAGTCCTGCTTGTCACTCAAACTGATGTAACGAATTGATATTAGCCGTTCAGTCAAGGCGTGTGCATCTTTCTGTCCTTGATGTATTTGTAAAATCCCCGGCAGTGCGGCTGAGACAGAGATGTGCATTTTACATTTTCACTTTCTGTAGTTGTGGCGTGTGCAGCTTGCTGTACGTGTAAAAGTAAAAATGAAACAACGGTGGTAAATAGCACAGATCAATATTCTCAGAGATATTAATCACGCATCACTGGATATGAATTAAAGCGATTGAAACGGTTACGCGTTGAAACTCTGCTGTTTAATCCTGTTTGTTGTTCTCAGATCCCCATGCAGCTGGACTCCTGAGGGGAGGAAACAAGGGGAACCTGCAGCTCAGAGAAAGGCCACTGTATTGGTATGATGCTGTTATCAATGCCGTTCAGACGGAGACAGTTGTTCTGTTATCAGTCCACGAGCAGAACTGCTGGATTTCATCTCAGTGCTGAATAACACAGAGCATTTAATTTTCTACATTCCATAAATCATTTTGGCCACAGAGGGGAATTCTAATGACTCACTTTTTGAAGATATTTTCAGAACTATTTTTCTTTCTCAAGCTTTTGTAGGTTGAAAACCAAACATTTTGCTTATATTTCCAAGGCCTGTTTTCAATTCCAAGGTTTTGTGTTGTGGATTTAAAGGTTTTTGAAATTACACAGCTGAGAAACATACAGCTGCAGCAGTCTAAACTATGCTTTTTGAGGGACACTTAAAAAAAAGACTTAGCAGGCTATTGGATAAAGCATCAAGCTATTATAATCTATTACGGGCTATTTTCAGTCAGGTCAGTGGAGGGAGCAAGTTGGCAAATCCGATTATTAATGAAACCAGCTGAAAGTGGAGCAAAAATTAAGAAATACTTGTGTTGTAGTAGCTCATACAGCGTCTGATGTAAGTCTTGCCCATGCTGGTTTCAAATGTCACCCCACACTTGAAAGGTCTTTATAAATGGTAATCACTCTTATAGGCTTGGCCTTGTAGTCCAGAAAGTGCCTTATTATGTTCTAATAGGTGATAAGCAGAAAACAACCCAGATCATGTCGGAGACCTAGAGTGGCATTCCTTGTAAACTCTCACCACTGAGTAGTTTTTGGTGCCTAAATATAATCAAATAATGAGTCTTAATCTTCTTTTTTGGTGCTGAAAAATTAAGCCAAAGCAGAAAAACAAAGAACTGCAGTTCCTCTAATGGCATGGCCATGTGAGGTTTTCTCCAACCACCCTATAGACGACTATGTTAAAATACCCAATTAGCAGCATTAAAGCCCAAGTTTACAGCCTAGTACCTTTTCAAAAACAACTATACAGTGGGTGGATTTCGCACTTGACATTGAAGTTAAAGACATAGTTGCTTTGATTGCAAAATGTCCTTACACAAGGAGTGTAGCAGATAGCTTTCTGTTTGCCCTCACTTATGCTAATTTGACACATTGAACTGTCCGACTTTATCATGTTTGTGGTCTTTGCATTTTTGTAGATTTATCTGACTAGTACAAACCAAATGCGATGGAGGCCAAGATGCTAAGAATGAGGCTTCAAAATGTGGAGCCTAAAAACAATGAGCAACACCACAGTCAAAATCCCTGTGTTTTATATCTGTTGTCTCAAACTGAAGTCTCGCATGTAAGTGTCATTAATTATGGCACACCCACCCCTCCTCCACCCTCATGAAGAGTTTAGTTTTAAGCACTATACTGCTTGAAAGTGGCAATACCCAACCCGTTATTGTTGTGCAGCAAGGCAGAACAACCGCCATCAAATTAGGTGATACCTGCCTATTGAGCCTGCTAGGTGGCTCAATAGGCAGGTACTAATGACATCTACAGGAGTTCTTTCAACTGATAACAACCATTCAATGATGAAACGGGTGATGAGTGCTGACTGGCATAAACCATTATGGTGTGGTCATGAGGGAAGCCAGATGACGTAGCTTCTCTCATAACTCTCACGTTTTAAAAATCTTGCTGAAAAAGTGAGGCTTGTGGACATGCATACATTTTTTTTTCTAATGACTACTGTGGGAAGTGTGACTCCTTGAATTCCAAAAATAAGTCACATTGTTTAGAAGGGAATAGAAAATGTTCCCTTGATCTGTGACCTCATTAAAAGGTTTATGTCTCAGTTTCTACTTTCAAATCCTCTTAGCTCAATTAAACAGTGTGGCCCTGTCAAAATAAAAGATAAGTGTGTTAAGCAAAGTTTGCTTTAAACTTTCATTCATCAGTTCCATTCATTTTCTTAACTGCCGAATATTCTGCATCAAGTCTTGAGCCACGGCCCTTTTCTATAGGAATTAGTTGCCTTTTCGCTCATTTTCAGTCGAGTCCTTTTGACTGACCATCTTCAGAGGAATTTTTTTAGTCTAGCCACCCAACAGTGACCTATAAATCATTCACGCAAAAGAAAAAGAACCTAAATCAAGACATGAACCAGTGTTATTTCTACATGTAATCATCAACTTAACAAGAAGAAAAATAAAAAACCCCAAACATTATTGTATCTTCAGGTACTTTGTTGCTAGCAGCCTGTCACAAAACATGTAATCTGTGCGTATTTCTTTTGTATTATCTATGAAAATGCCAAAGATGACTCAGTTTGACGTTAAAAAGTGTTTATGCAGCAGTAGGTGATTCCCAAAAATGTATTAACTTGGCAGTCCTTTACAAATAGAGGAAACTGAAAAAGCACTGTAGAAAATAAATGAAGAAGTCAAAGGCCAAAAAAATATCTCCAGCAGATAAACAGTATGTGGAAGTTGTGTTCTTAAGAAATATAAAGAAAATCCAGCAAGGACCTGACACAGAACCTGAGAGATGCATGAGGTTACCACCTGGTGGCTGTGAAGAAGCCATTTTTAAGCAAGGGAAACAGGAAGAAAAGGCTCTCACCAAATGTTAATTTTCAAGCATGTTAAAATAGTCCAAACTTTGGCTTATATCGAGTATTTGCACCTATTTCTCATTTACCTAGGAAAATATAAAGAAATAAGTGGTGGCTCAAAACATCTGCACAGGTCTGTGGAGCAGGCACCTATTTTCTATTAGCTTCCCAGTTAATATGACCAACGTCACAGTTAATAACAGATGCGTCTTCTAGCTAAGCTGAGAAGGTAATGCGAGCTGATGCTGGCTTACCTCCTCGTCCTCATCCATCTTTTATATTCGGTGGACGACACAAAACTTTTTGCTTGTCTTCTTTGTTAGTTGGCATTTAGTTGGGTGCTTTTGGGTTTTTAATTAATTTTATTCATATCTCTTTTATGAAATGTAAATAAGAAAATTAAATTCCTAGGCATTAACCATTCAGAGCAATCTATCCTGTTTTAGAGCTCACCCTTCTCATCATTTTTAGAATGTTTGCACACAGTGCTTCTTTTTTTTTTTTTTAGGATTTAAACAAAACAGATCTCACTACTCAAAATAAATAAGACCCTTTCTGGCTCCAGGAGGATATCTCCAGCCTCC